TGTGATTACTCTAGGTACAGTATATAAATATGATTACTCTAGGTATAGTATATAAATGTTTTATTACAAGTAAATTAGGCATTGAGAAACACATTTTGTTTTGGTGTATGATTCATACATTTTGAAACATAGATGAGGTATAATAATATAGTATTATCATATTTAGGTTCAGACAATGGATAAGAAGTTAGACACCTTAAAGCAAGAAAAACATGAGTTGTTCTCCCAGTTGAAGAAGGTGTTGCATCAGGAGGATGAGACGAGGAAGAGAGCACAACTAAAGGAACAGAGGTAAGCTATGTGCCATTAAATCATCACACTCCCCTTCCACTCAGATGGCCGTGGTTGACTCCCTGATCGGATGTAAACAGGGGTTACACTCCATCCACAATCGGACGTAAACAGGGGTTAGACTCCCCGATAAAACATAAACAGGGGTTAAACTCCCTGATAAGATGTAAACAGGGGTTAGACTCCCTGAATGGACATAAACAGGGGTTAGACTCCCTGATAAGATGTAAACAGGGATTAGACTCCCTGATAAAACATAAACAGGGGTTAGACTCCCTGATAAAACATAAACAGGGGTTAGACTCCCTGATAAGATGTAAACAGTGGTTAAACTCCCTGATAAAACATAAACAGGGGTTTAGACTCCATTATAAGACGTAAACAGGGGTTAGACTCCCTGATCAAACATAAACAGGGGTTAGACTCCCTGATAAGACGTAAACAGGGGTTAGACTCCCTGATCAAACATAAACAGGGGTTAGACTCCCTGGTCAGTTGTAAACAGGGGTTAGACTCCCTGATCAGACGTAAACAGGGGTTAGACTCCCTGGTAAGATGTAAACAGGGGTTAGACTCCCTGATAAGGCATAAACAGGGGTTAGACTCCCTGATAAGATATAAACAGGGGTTAGACTCCCTGATAAAGCATAAACAGGGGTTAGACTCCCTGACAAGACATAAGCAGGGGTTAGACTCCCTGATAAAACGTAAACAAGAGTTAGACTCCCTGATAAGACCTAAACAGGGGTTAGACTCCCTGATCAGATATAAACAGGGGTTAGACTCCCTGATCGGACGTAAACAGGGGTTAGACTCCCTGGTCAGTTGTAAACAGGGGTTAGACTCCCTGATAAGACATAAACAGGGGTTAAAATCCCTGATAAGATGTAAACAGGGGTTAGACTCCCTTATAAGACATAAACAGGGGTTAGACTCCCTGATAAGATGTAACAGGGGTTAAACTCCCTGATCGGACATAAACAGGGGTTAGACTCCCTGATAAAACATAAACAAGGGTTAGAATCCCTGATAAAACATAAACAGGGGTTTGACTCCCTGATAAGATGTAAACAGGGGTTAGACTTCCTGATAAGATGTAAACAGTGGTTAGACTCCCTGATAAGATGTAAACAGGGATTAAACTCCCTGATAAGACGTAAACAGGGGTTAGACTCCCTGACAAGACATAAACAGGGATTAGACTCCCTGATAAGATGTAAACAGGGGTTAGACTCCCTGATAAGATGTAAACAGGGGTAAGACTTCCTGATAAAACATAAACAGGGGTTAGACTCCCTGACAAGACATAAGCAGGGGTTAGACTCCCTGATAAAACATAAACAGGGGTTAGACTTCCTGATAAGACGTAAACAGGGGTTAGACTCCCTGATAAGACGTAAACAGGAGTTGGACTCCCTGATAAGACCTAAACAGGGGTTAGACTCCCTGATAAGATGTAAACAGGGGTTAGACTCCCTGATAAGACGTAAACAGGGGTTAGACTCCCTGATAAGACATAAACAGGGGTTAGACTCCCTGATAAAGCATAAACAGGGGTTAGACTCCCTGATAAGACGTAAACAAGAGTTAGACTCCCTGATAAGACCTAAACAGGGGTTAGACTCCCTGATCGGATGTAAACAGGGGTTAGACTCCCTGATCGGACGTAAACAGGGGTTAGACTCCCTGGTAAGATGTAAACAGGGGTTAGACTCCCTGATAAGACATAAACAGGGGTTAAAATCCCTGATAAGATGTAAACAGGGGTTAGACTCCCTTATAAGACATAAACAGGGGTTAGACTCCCTGATAAGATGTAACAGGGGTTAAACTCCCTGATCGGACATAAACAGGGGTTAGACTCCCTGATAAAACATAAACAAGGGTTAGACTCCCTGATAAAACATAAACAGGGGTTTGACTCCCTGTTAAGATGTAAACAGGGGTTAGACTTCCTGATAAGATGTAAACAGGGATTAAACTCCCTGATAAGATGTAAACAGGGGTTAGACTCCCTGATAAGACGCAAACAGTGGTTAGACTTCCTGATAAGATGTAAACAGGGGTAGACTCCCTGATAAGACGTAAACAAGAGGTTAGACTCCCTGATAAGACATAAACAGGGGATAGACTCCCTGATAAGATGTAAACAGGGGTTAGACTCCCTGATAAAACATAAACAGGGGTTAGACTCCATGATAAGACATAAACAGGGGTTAGACTCCCTGATAAGATGTAAACAGGGGTTAAACTCCCCGATAAGATGTAATTTTGGTCAAATATTTTCAAAACTTTAAAGGATTTCCCTGATTTAAATCAAACTGCAAAGGAGAATGATATTTGACCAGTAGCATGCTCAGATGAAGAGCTATCAAGTTTGTTCATGTGAATGAATCAATGACACTCTTTCAAGGTCACATATGGTCAAATGTACATAAACATTTAATAGACTTCATCTCAATAAAAAAAAGTGTAAGTTGGTGATATTTGGCAAGTTGATGCAGGAATGAAGGGCTATAAAGTTTGTTCAACTCAATGTCCTTGTTTGACATTCAAAGTCACAGGGGTCAAATGTGTTAAAATCTTTTCACAGGTTCTTTTAAATGACTTAGAGTCAACGATAGTGATATTTTGCCTGTAGCTTTATATTAGTCTACTTTTAAGATTAATGCCAGATAAGCCGTGCAGGCCCATTGGGTCTGTTGTTGTAGCAGATAACCTGCGGGCCCATTGGGTCTGTTGTTGTAGCAGGTAACCTGGGGCCCATTGGGTCTGTTGTTGTAGCAGATAAGCCATGCAGGCCCATTGGGTCTGTTGTTGTAGAAGATAACCTGCGGGCCCATTGGGTCTGTTGTTGTAGCAGATAACCTGCGGTCCCATTGGGTCTGCTGTTGTAGCAGGTAACCTGTGGGGAATCTACTGGAGTGGGCATTCTAAAGACTTTTCCTTAACATGACATTTTTAGGTGGGTGGGTAATATAATGGAGTGGACAATACATAAGAAATTAGAGTAACAACATAAAACATTAACCACACAACATTTAGATATTTCTACAGTATGTTTAGTATACATTTGTCTATATAAAAATACAAAAAGTACAGAATCATATAGTTGTGCAGAAATATCCAAGTCCTTTGAGGTTCAGAACAACAATTGGTTACATCCAATTATCATTTTGTACAACCTGTGTTATTTAAGGGCCTTTGAGTTTTTGATTAAGGACAATTGATTACTACCATTTGAAGTATATCCTATGTCAGTCTGATACTGTTGAGTTTGTCACTAACGTAGGACTTATATATATATATATTTGTTGTATCAATTAGAACTAGTTTGTGGTTATATATATTTGTTGTATCAATTAGAACTAGTTTGTGGTTATATATATTTGTTGTATCAATTAGAACTAGTTTGTGGTTATTAAAATTTTGCGCAACACCACCTTGTCAAAAGTATTTGCTTGGCATTTAATTTCTTATCATTGATGACCATAGATATAAATTAAATACCAAATCCTTGGCATTATGATTATAGTAATTTTGTGTATTACTGTGACTGTTGTGATTGACATAGTTTGTTTGATTGCAGTGAATTGTTGAGTCTCCAACAAGCATACCCACACCCCGCCAACCTGGCGACCAACCACGCCATGTTGATGCAGCACGGTCGTCCCACTCTGTACAGACCCACACAGCCCGCCATGATGCATGTAGGTATACAACACTTGTACATGGGCTCTCGTTTTTATATCTTAAAGATTTTATGAGAAATGGAAAAAATTTCAAGACTGATAATTTTAAAACATTTTAAATTTCTTTTGTGTAAAAAGAATGGGCATTAACACCGTGTAAAACGTTATCTGTACCAGGATTTTTAGCCAATCATCATAAGATGATGGCAGTTCCTATCCTCCAGCATCACTTAGTCAGTCCCTATATTAGCACTATTTCTCTGCTGATATGCGATCATTGTATGCCTTGGTCAACAGTAAATGTACATACTCCCATTTGAGATGGATTGGAAAAGCAAAACTTCATTTTTTTTTTTATCTAAAGCTTAACTGGACCAATCAATCTCAATTTGGTACTTATGAAAAGTGAGGCCAAATAGGAGGTGGCCTGGGCAGAGGAGCAGGGCCAATAGGTTAGATAGTGATAATTGTTTGGAATACTTCTCTTCAGTATAAATGAAAGGACTTGAACCATATAAGATCATAAATATCACTTCAGGGCCAAGGTAGTAGGGGAATGTTCCAAGGTAGTGGGGGAATGTTCCAAGGTAGTAGGGGAATGTTCTAAGGTAGTAGGGGAATGTTCCAAGGTAGTAGGCGAATGTTCCAAGGTAGTAGGGGAATGTTCCAAGATAGTAGGGGAATGTTCCAAGGTAGTAGCCAAGGTAGTAAGGGAATATTCCAAGGTAGTAAGGGAATATTACAAGGCAGTAGGGGAATGTTCCAAGGTAGTAGGGGAGTGTTCCAAGGTAGTAGGGGAATGTTCCAAGATAGTAGGGGAATGTTCCAAGGTAGTAGGGGAATATTCCAAGGTAGTGGGGGAATGTTCCTACGTAGTAGGGGAATGTTCCAAGGTAGTAGGGGAATATTCCAAGGTAGTAAGGGAATATTCCAAGGTAGTGGGGGAATGTTCCAAGGTAGTAGGGGAATGTTCCAAGGTAGTAGGGGAATATTCCATGGTAGTAGGGGAATGTTCCAAGGTAGTAGGGGAATATTCCAATGTAGTAAGGGAATATTCCAAGGTAGTAGGGGAATATTCCAAGGTAGTAGGGGAATGTTCCAAGGTAGTAAGGGAATATTCCAAGGTAGTAAGGGAATATTCCAAGGTAGTGGGGGAATGTTCCAAGGTAGTAGGGGAATATTCCATGGTAGTAGGGGAATGTTCCAAGGTAGTAGTGGAATGTTCCAAGGTAGTAGTGGAATGTTCCAAGGGAGTAGGGGAATGTTCCAAGGTAGTAAGGGAATATTCCAAGGTAGTAAGGGAATATTCCAAGGTAGTAGGGGAATATTCCAAGGTAGTAGGGGAATGTTCCTAGGTAGTAGTGGAATGTTCCAAGGGAGTAGGGGAATGTTCCAAGGTAGTAGGGGAATATTCCAAGGTAGTAGGGGAATATTCCAAGTTAGTAGGTAAATGTTCAAAGGTAGTAGGGGAATATTCCAAGGTAGTAGGGGAATGTTCCAAGGTAGTAGGGGAATATTCCAAGGTAGTAGGGGAATGTTCCAAGGTAGTTGGGGAATATTCCAAGGTAGTAGGGGAATGTTTCAAGGTAGTAGGGGAATGTTCCAGGGTAGTAGGGGAATGTTTCAAGGTAGTAGGAGAATGTTCCAAGGTAGTAGGGGAATATTCCAAGGTAATAGGGGAATGTTCAAAGGTAGTAGGGGAATGTTCCAAGGTAGTTGGGGAATATTCCATGGTAGTAGGGGAATGTTCAAAGGTAGTAGGGGAATGTTCCAAGGTAGTAGGGGAATATTGCAAGGTAGTAGGGGAATATTCCAAGGTAGTAGGGGAATGTTCCAAGGTAGTGGGGGAATGTTCCAAGGTAATAGGGGAATGTTCAAAGGTAGTAGGGGAATATTCCAAGGTAGTAGGGGAATATTCCAAGGTATAAGGGGAATGTTCAAAGGTAGTAGTGGAATGTTCCAAGGTAGTAGGGGAATGTTCCGTGGAATGTTCCAAGGTAGTAGTGGAATGTTACAAGGTAGACGGGGAATGTTCCGTGGAATGTTCCAAGGTAGTAGGGGAATGTTCCAAGGGTAGTAGGGGAATGTTCCAAGGTAGTGGGGGAATGTTCCAAGGTAGTAGGGGAATGTTCCAAGGTAGTAGTGGAATGTTCAAAGGTAGTAGTGGAATGTTCCAAGGTAGTATGGGAATGTTCCGTGGAATGTTCCAAGGTAGTAGGGAAATATTCCAAGGTAGTAGGGGAATATTCCAAGGTAGTGGGGGAATGTTCCAAGGTAATAGGGGAATGTTCAAAGGTAGTAGGGGAATATTCCAAGGGAGTAGGGGAATATTCCAAGGTATAAGGGGAATGTTCAAAGGTAGTAGTGGAATGTTCAAAGGTAGTAGTGGAATGTTCCAAGGTAGTAGGGGAATGTTCCATGGAATGTTCCAAGGTAGTAGGGGAATGTTCCAGGGAATGTTCCAAGGTAGTAGGGGAATGTTCCAAGGAAGTAGGGGAATATTCCAAGGTAGTAGGGGAATGTTCCAAGGTAGTAGGGGAATATTCCAAGGTAGAAGGGGAATGTTCAAAGGTAGTAGGGGAATATTCCAAGGTAGTAAGGGAATGTTCCAAGGTAGTAGTGGAATGTTCAAAGGTAGTAGTGGAATGTTCCAAGGTAGTAGGGGAATATTCCAAGGTAGTAGGGGAATATTCCAAGGTAGTAGGGGAATGTTCCAAGGTAGTAGGGGAATATTCCAAGGTAGTAGGGGAATTTTCCAAGGTAGTAGGGGAATGTTCCAAGGTAGTAGGGGAATATTCCAAGGTAGTAGGGGAATCATTGCAAAGTAAAGATGCTATGGTATCTTATAGTTTTGTTTGTTAACATTGTCAGGTACATGATTCATTGTTACAGCAGATGAGTCTGAAGAGGCCCAGAAGTCCCTCCCCTCCTCCATCAACAGTATACCAGCCATATCCTGAGCCCAAAATGATGGCCACGGCAGTAGCCAAGCAACATCCTGGGTTCTCCCACCCAGCCCAGACAGACTACAGTAAGCTTTAAACTAAGAATTGAGGGTGTTGCACTGGAAGGGTATTTCCATGAAGTAACAGTGGTCCAATGACCCACAGCCATAAACAATCTCGTCAATCTAAGCCATGTTCAATAGCCTCAATGAAACTTTACAACACAGCAACATTGGTTAGTTACAAACTGCCGACCAGAGAAGTGAGCTTGTGTACAGAGAGATTAATTGGGGCAAGTGCTTTGAACTTTTTTTTTTACATCTCTGAATAGAAGAGGTTGATGAAGATGAGAATTCCTGTTAGAAACATGAGGATGAGATAGAGCCAGAATATTCAGATATTGATGTAACTTTCATTGTCAGTTGTGTGTTGAGCTACAAGATGAGCAGGGATAAACTTATATAACTCAAATAAACAAAAAATATGTAACAATCAGGTTTCTATCTTGTCATTTTGACATCATTATGTTAGGTATTGATAATACTGACTTGGGCCATGGAATTTATTTTTAGCTCACCTGGTCCGCACCCCAGACTAAGGGGTTTGGCCAAAAAGGGGCAATTTGGCTCCATTGCTATAAATGACTTCTTCTGTAGAACCATAGCATGGATATCAATTATATTTGGTCAGAAGCATTCATGCGAGGCGGGGATTTAAAATTGTACAAATGTTGGGGCTGACCCCAAAGGGGGCTGAGCAAAAAAGGGTTATTTGGCTATATTGCTTTAAGTGACTTCTTCTCTGGAACTAAAATATGGATATCAACCATATTTGACTAGAAGCATCCCTAGGTGGTGGGGATTCAAAATTGTACAAGTGGTTGGGCTGACCCCCATGGGGGCTGAGGGTGGGGCCAAAGGGGGGCAATTTGGCTATATTGCTATAAACGATTTCTTCTGTAGAACTGTGTCATGGATATCAATCATTTTTGGTTGGAAGCATTCATGGAAGGCAGGGATTCAAAATTGTACAAATGCTGAGGCGGACCCCCTGGGGGGCTAACGGGTGGGGCCAAACAAAGTTTATTACTCGGAAATTGTTGAGATCCCCACCCTATAACTATATATACAATTACTGAGTATGAAGAGAAGAATGCACATTTACTTCCAGGATGGCCCTGGGGTCTGGCCCCAACCTTGGAAACATAGTCCCTGGGTTAAGATTCCCATCCCAAAACTATATATACAATTGTTGGGCATAAAGAGACGAATGCAGTCATGATATTAGAATTGACCCCAGGGTCTGCTCCACCCTTGCAGACTTAACCCGTGGGTCATAACTTTGAAACGGTTGAGATCCCCACCCCAAAACTATAAATATAAATGCTGGGCTGAAAGAGATGAATGTAGTCCTGACATTAGAATTGATCCTGGGGTCTGTAGACTTATTGTTTATGGTAAATTCACCATTACTTTGAGACACTGATAGATTGAATACTTTATATTGAAATAATTCTAGTTTACCTACCCAGATTGTTGTCAGAGGCTTATGTTGTGTATATCAACTTTGTATTTATGAGACAGCTCAGTGGATTTTGACCAAACTGGTGTGGAAGATTACTTGGCCAAGGGTACTCATCAGTGTGAATTCCTGGAGCCACTGGACTAGGAAAGCAAGGATAAATATTTAAAACAGTTCTCCAATATTTTAACCATATTTAGTACAAAAGGATTCCTGGGCCAGAAGTGCAGAGTTTTGTATAAACAAATGGTGTTGCCATCCTTTCTGAAAGTTTTTGCTACATATTGTGTTGTTGTCCCCACCCAATGAAGATGGCAGGGGATATATCAATGGACAACCTTGATATTCCAGGGTAACTTTCGCTCTCTGCACCCCTGGAATATGTCATGGCAAATTAAAAGGCTCAATGTGCACACCACTTCGTGGATGATACTAGTAGACTAATTTGATTCGTTCATATGCATTGTACATCAAAAGAATCTTGCGATATTGTAAGGTAAAATTGACTGGCTTTGAAGTGGGGTGCGCTCTCCTGTAACTTCAAAGGACAGGTATCAGCCTAGCGATTGGTCTGTTTTATGTACCTGAGACAAATCAAATACCCATCTTTACCATGACGTATTGAACGCCGACAGAACACCGACTTCCGTCAGTGAGATGAAACCCATAAGGGTGGATTCATGTAGGCGCAAAACCCTTCAACCAACCAACCAATGACGTATTGCAGGGTGCAGAGAGCTTAAGTGAGCGTAACCCTGGAGTATCAAGGATGGCAAATGGGCTCTGTCTGTGTATATCTGGTTTTCAAGCTATAACTCAAAAACTGTTCAAGATAACTTCCTGAAACTTTATCTGTATGTAAAAATAACCAAAACAGCCAATATAGCTAGAAATACCTGTCTATTATGTCACAAAAAATATGTATATTTCTAGAATCTGGAAACTTTCCACAAGGCCAGCCAACACAGGTGTCGTATGCCAATCAGCAGGCAGCAAGTCATGCTTACCAACAGGCCGCTGCTGCCGCCGCCCCCAGTTACACAAGCAGCAAATCACCAGCCAGTAAATACAGTGGATCTAGTAGTCAATCAGCTTTCACTGCCTACCCGAATCACTACGCCACCCACCAGCAACCTAAGCAAATCGCCCCAGAGGCCTACCCAGGCTATCCAGTTCAGAGGATGCAGCAACCAGGAGGTAAGCTGGTCAAAATACAGTAATCTGATTGGTTAAACAAAACCACACATTACAGAAATAAGACAAGATATTATAGAATGGTTAGACAAGACCAGATATTATAGAATGGTTAGACAAGACCAGATATTATAGAATGGTTAGACAAGACCAGATATTATAGAATGGTTAGACAAGACCAGATATTATAGAATGGTTAGACAAGACCAGATATTATAGAATGGTTAGACAAGACCAGATATTATAGAATGGTTAGACAAGACCAGATATTATAGAATGGTTAGACAAGACCAGATATTATAGAATGGTTAGACAAGACCAGATATTATAGAATGGTTAGACAAGACCAGATATTATAGAATGGTTAGACAAGACCAGATATTATAGAATGGTTAGACAAGACCAGATATTATAGAATGGTTAGACAAGACCAGATATTATAGAATGGTTAGACAAGACCAGATATTATAGAATGGTTAGACAAGACCAGATATTATAGAATGGTTAGACAAGACCAGATATTATAGAATGGTTAGACAAGACCAGATATTATAGAATGGTTAGACAAGACCAGATATTATAGAATGGTTAGACAAGACCAGATATTATAGAATGGTTAGACAAGACCAGATATTATAGAATGGTTAGACAAGACCAGATATTATAGAATGGTTAGACAAGACCAGATATTATAGAATGGTTAGACAAGACCAGATATTATAGAATGGTTAGACAAGACCAGATATTATAGAATGGTTAGACAAGACCAGATATTATAGAATGGTTAGACAAGACCAGATATTATAGAATGGTTAGACAAGACCAGATATTATAGAATGGTTAGACAAGACCAGATATTATAGAATGGTTAGACAAGACCAGATATTATAGAATGGTTAGACAAGACCAGATATTATAGAATGGTTAGACAAGACCAGATATTATAGAATGGTTAGACAAGACCAGATATTATAGAATGGTTAGACAAGACCAGATATTATAGAATGGTTAGACAAGACCAGATATTATAGAATGGTTAGACAAGACCAGATATTATAGAATGGTTAGACAAGACCAGATATTATAGAATGGTTAGACAAGACCAGATATTATAGAATGGTTAGACAAGACCAGATATTATAGAATGGTTAGACAAGACCAGATATTATAGAATGGTTAGACAAGACCAGATATTATAGAATGGTTAGACAAGACCAGATATTATAGAATGGTTAGACAAGACCAGATATTATAGAATGGTTAGACAAGACCAGATATTATAGAATGGTTAGACAAGACCAGATATTATAGAATGGTTAGACAAGACCAGATATTATAGAATGGTTAGACAAGACCAGATATTATAGAATGGTTAGACAAGACCAGATATTATAGAATGGTTAGACAAGACCAGATATTATAGAATGGTTAGACAAGACCAGATATTATAGAATGGTTAGACAAGACCAGATATTATAGAATGGTTAGACAAGACCAGATATTATAGAATGGTTAGACAAGACCAGATATTATAGAATGGTTAGACAAGACCAGATATTATAGAATGGTTAGACAAGACCAGATATTATAGAATGGTTAGACAAGACCAGATATTATAGAATGGTTAGACAAGACCAGATATTATAGAATGGTTAGACAAGACCAGATATTATAGAATGGTTAGACAAGACCAGATATTATAGAATGGTTAGACAAGACCAGATATTATAGAATGGTTAGACAAGACCAGATATTATAGAATGGTTAGACAAGACCGGATATTATAGAAAGGTTAGACAAGACCAGATATTATAGAATGGCTAGACAAGACCAGATAATATAGAATGGTTAGACAAGACCAGATACTATAGAATGATTTAACAAGACCAGATATTATAGAATGATTTAATAAGACCAGATATTATAGAATGGCTAGACAAGACCAGATAATATAGAATGGTTAGACAAGACCAGATATTATAGAATGGTTAGACAAGACCAGATATTATAGAATGGTTAGACAAGAACAGATATTATAGAATGGTTAGACAAGACCAGATATTATAGAATGGTTAGACAAGACCAGATATTATAGAATGATTTAACAAGACCAGATATTATAGAATCTATCGCACTAGGAAATGATCAATGGTCTGCCGATCGAGGTGAGCTTTTGGTGTTGTGTCTGTCCTTCTTGCATCAATAGTGTCAGGTATATCAAGTATGTTGTACATAGTTTGTTCTTTATATAACATTATTTCGAAGTATTCCCCCTTAGCAAAAACGCACTCTCATAATCGTGCTATCCATGATGTAAACACTGCGCAAAGTCTCCCCTTGGTATACTGATGGGAACCTTAGCTGAATCACTTCTAGAGCCATACGGTTTCCCAGAGAGCAATGTCTTTAGTAAAGGAAACAGGAATAAGTCAGAGGGACTTATATCTCGTGAATAGGTTTGGCAATCTGACGTGCTACCTTCTCTTGCTTCAAAATTTCTTGTATAATATTGCTTTTGTTGGATAAGGCGTTGTCGTGTATAAGCTGGATGAGGCGTTGTCGTGTATAAGCTGGATGAGGCATTGTCGTGTATAAGCTGGATGAGGCATTGTCGTGTATAAGCTGGATGAGGCATTGTCGTGTATAAGCTGGATGAGGCATTGTCGTGTATAAGCTGGATGAGGCATTGTCGTGTATAAGCTGGATGAGGCATTGTCGTGTATAAGCTGGATGAGGCATTGTCGTGTATAAGCTGGATGAGGCATTGTCGTGTATAAGCTGGATGAGGCATTGTCGTGTATAAGCTGGATGAGGCATTGTCGTGTATAAGCTGGATGAGGCATTGTCGTGTATAAGCTGGATGAGGCATTGTCGTGTATAAGCTGGATGAGGCATTGTCGTGTATAAGCTGGATGAGGCATTGTCGTGTATAAGCTGGATGAGGCATTGTCGTGTATAAGCTGGATGAGGCATTGTCGTGTATAAGCTGGATGAGGCATTGTCGTGTATAAGCTGGATGAGGCATTGTCGTGTATAAGCTGGATGAGGCATTGTCGTGTATAAGCTGGATGAGGCATTGTCGTGTATAAGCTGGATGAGGCATTGTCGTGTATAAGCTGGATGAGGCATTGTCGTGTATAAGCTGGATGAGGCATTGTCGTGTATAAGCTGGATGAGGCATTGTCGTGTATAAGCTGGATGAGGCATTGTCGTGTATAAGCTGGATGAGGCATTGTCGTGTATAAGCTGGATGAGGCATTGTCGTGTATAAGCTGGATGAGGCATTGTCGTGTATAAGCTGGATGAGGCATTGTCGTGTATAAGCTGGATGAGGCATTGTCGTGTATAAGCTGGATGAGGCATTGTCGTGTATAAGCTGGATGAGGCATTGTCGTGTATAAGCTGGATGAGGCATTGTCGTGTATAAGCTGGATGAGGCATTGTCGTGTATAAGCTGGATGAGGCATTGTCGTGTATAAGCTGGATGAGGCATTGTCGTGTATAAGCTGGATGAGGCATTGTCGTGTATAAGCTGGATGAGGCATTGTCGTGTATAAGCTGGATGAGGCATTGTCGTGTATAAGCTGGATGAGGCATTGTCGTGTATAAGCTGGATGAGGCATTGTCGTGTATAAGCTGGATGAGGCATTGTCGTGTATAAGCTGGATGAGGCATTGTCGTGTATAAGCTGGATGAGGCATTGTCGTGTATAAGCTGGATGAGGCATTGTCGTGTATAAGCTGGATGAGGCATTGTCGTGTATAAGCTGGATGAGGCATTGTCGTGTATAAGCTGGATGAGGCATTGTCGTGTATAAGCTGGATGAGGCATTGTCGTGTATAAGCTGGATGAGGCATTGTCGTGTATAAGCTGGATGAGGCATTGTCGTGTATAAGCTGGATGAGGCATTGTCGTGTATAAGCTGGATGAGGCATTGTCGTGTATAAGCTGGATGAGGCATTGTCGTGTATAAGCTGGATGAGGCATTGTCGTGTATAAGCTGGATGAGGCATTGTCGTGTATAAGCTGGATGAGGCATTGTCGTGTATAAGCTGGATGAGGCATTGTCGTGTATAAGCTGGATGAGGCATTGTCGTGTATAAGCTGGATGAGGCATTGTCGTGTATAAGCTGGATGAGGCATTGTCGTGTATAAGCTGGATGAGGCATTGTCGTGTATAAGCTGGATGAGGCATTGTCGTGTATAAGCTGGATGAGGCATTGTCGTGTATAAGCTGGATGAGGCATTGTCGTGTATAAGCTGGATGAGGCATTGTCGTGTATAAGCTGGATGAGGCATTGTCGTGTATAAGCTGGATGAGGCATTGTCGTGTATAAGCTGGATGAGGCATTGTCGTGTATAAGCTGGATGAGGCATTGTCGTGTATAAGCTGGATGAGGCATTGTCGTGTATAAGCTGGATGAGGCATTGTCGTGTATAAGCTGGATGAGGCATTGTCGTGTATAAGCTGGATGAGGCATTGTCGTGTATAAGCTGGATGAGGCATTGTCGTGTATAAGCTGGATGAGGCATTGTCGTGTATAAGCTGGATGAGGCATTGTCGTGTATAAGCTGGATGAGGCGTTGTCGTGTATAAGCTGGATGAGGCGTTGTCGTGTATAAGCTGGATGAGGCGTTGTCGTGTATAAGCTGGATGAGGCGTTGTCGTGTATAAGCTGGATGAGGCGTTGTCGTGTATAAGCTGGATGAGGCGTTGTCGTGTATAAGCTGGATGAGGCGTTGTCGTGTATAAGCTGGATGAGGCGTTGTCGTGTATAAGCTGGATGAGGCGTTGTCGTGTATAAGCTGGATGAGGCGTTGTCGTGTATAAGCTGGATGAGACATTGTCATGTATAAGCTGGATGCCGTTCAATCCTTTACTTGGATTCTTTTTCATGTAGAACCTTTTAATAGGCTTAAGTACTATTCAAGGTCAAAGGGGTCAAATATGTTAAAAACTTTTAAACAACTTCTTCTGAATAACCAAAATGCCCAGGGTGATGATAGTTTGCCAGTAACATGTTGGAGTGAAGGGCTACAAAGTTTGTTCAAAAGAATGACCTTCACTCATATTCAAGGTCACAGGGGTCAATTGTCTCAAAAAACCTTTAAACAACTTCTTCTGAATAACTAAAAGAATCAGTATGGTGACATTTGGTCTGTAGCATGCTGGGATGAAGGGCTACCAAGTTTGTTCAAATAAATGACCTTGACTTATATTCAAGATCACAGGGGTCAAATATGTTTAAAACCTTTAAACAACTTCTGAATAACCAAGAGGCCTAGGGTGATGATATTTTGCCAGTAACATGCTTGGATGAAGGGCTACCAAGTTGGTTCAAATAGGTGACCTTCATTCAATTGCAAGGTCATAGGGGTCAAGTATTAAATCTATTTTATCGATGCAATTTTGTTCCATACTTTTATTTTGTTGCATTGTGGCAAATGATACAGATCGCCTATGTGAATAACGCCATGACCTATTTCCTAAAGTCAGCGATAATCAATGCAGCTTTTGCTTGATTCTTAAATGGGGGATATAACGTCAGTCAAACAGCGGGCTCTTGTTTACCTTGCAGTGTTCTATTTATAAGCTAAATACTAAGGTCAGTTGTCCTTGGGTGACAACTGGACAATAGGTCCATCTAACTGTAAATCGCATGCTGGCCATATTTTGTAGTCTTATCAAAACATGTGCAGTAGTTAATTGATTTCAATGAATATAATACTTCACATGGAAGTAGTGTGGTTTTTATCATTTACACAATAGTTTCCTTATCGCTTTGCAAGTTATTTCCCCGTATCTCCCAAGAAAAAGTGACAAAATCTGGGCATACCGTCCAGACAGCATAGTGCCGGAAATTGATCTAAAAGTAACAAAGGTTATTGTCATATTAAACTGACGACGACTGATTAATTATAATATACACTGTTTAGCTCACCTGGCCCAAAGAGCCAAGTGAGCTTCTGGCATGGTGCTGGGATGAAGGACTACCAAGTTTGTTCAAATGAATGTCCTTGACCCACTTTCAACCTAATGTCCTTGTTTGACATTCAAGGTCACAGGCGTCATATGTTTAAATCTTTTGATACGTTCTTATGAATCAAACACTGATATTCTGCCTGTAGCTGTATTTTAGTCCATTTTTAGCTCACCTGGCACGAAGAACTAAAAGGTATAGAATCTTCGTATTTGGCTGATGGCTTCCCGGGATAGAGCCCAACAAAGTTTGAGAATGAAAATGACCTTGACCTACTTTCAAGGTCACAGGGGTCAATGTGTCAAACACTTCAAACGACTTCTTCTGAAGAACTGAAAGGTATAGAATCTGTATATTTGGCTGGTGGCTTCCTGGGATAGAGACCAACAAGGTTGGAGAATGAAAATTAGTTTGACCAACTTTCAAGGTCACAGGGGTCAAATATGTCAAAAACTTCTAACGACTTCTTCTGAAGAATTAAAAGGTATAGAATCTTCATATTTGGCTGATGGCTTCCTTGGATGGAGCCCAACAAAGTTTGAGAATGAAAATTACCTTGACCTTCTTTCAAGGTCACAGGGGTCAAATGTGTCAAACACTTCAAACGACTTCTTCTGAAGAACTGAAAGGTATATAATCTTTATATTTGGCTGGTGGCTTCCTGGGATAGAGCCCAACAAAGTTTGAGAATGAAAACTAGTTTGACCTACTTTCAAGGTCACAGGGGTCATATATGTCAAAAGCTTCAAATGACTTCTTCTGAAGAACTGAAAGGTATAGAATCTTTATTTTTGATTGATGGCTTCCTTGGATAGAGCCCGACAAAGTTTGAGAATGAAAATGACCTTGACCTTCTTTCAAGGTCACAGGAGTCAAATGTGTCAGACACTTCAAACGACTTCTTCTGAAGAACTGAAAGGTATATAATCTCTATATTTGGCTTGTAGCTTCCTAGGAAAGAGCCGAACAAAGTTTGAGAATGAAAATGACCTTGACCTTCTTTTAAGGTCACATGAGGCAGATATGTCAAACACTTTAAACGACTTCTTCTGAAGAACTGGTAGTTATAAAATCTTAATATTTGGCAGGTGGCTTCCTGGGAAAGAGCCAAACAAAGTTTGCGAATGAAAATGACCTTGACCTACTTTCAAGGTCACAGCGTTCAAATATGTCAAACAGTTCAAACAGCTTCTTCTGAAGAATTAAAAGGCATAAAATTATAATATTTGGCTGGTGACTTCCCGGGATAGAGCTCACCAAAGTTTGCAAATGAAAATGACCTCAACCTACTTTAGAGGTCACAGAGGTCAACAACATTTTAATGGATTTGTTCTTGAGAACTAAAAGGAATGGATTCATAAGATTTGGCTGGTAGCTTTTTGGAATAGAGCTAACCAATTTGAGAAGGAAAATGACATTGACCTACTTACAAGATCACAGGGAAAAATATGTCAGCAACTTCTGAAGAAGAATCAAAAAGCATAGAATCTTATAATAATATTTTGCTGGTAGTTTCAATAGATGGAGCCAACAAAGTTTGCGAGGGAAATATTTTTAGTGCAATATAATATTTAATGAGAATATTTTGCTATGACTGCTTAAATATTCAGGTGAGCGATACAGGCCCTCTTGGGCCTCTTGTTAAGATTACAAGTGTGAGTTTAATACCAGGTGAGCGATGCAGGCCCATTGGGCCTCTTGTTTTTTGTTGAAATGAATTGTAGTATTATAGTATAACAATAGTTCTTAAGAAATGCTCGAAGTCATTTGAGATGGAAAATAGAATTCACATACTGATCTTTATGATGGCATAATGCAATTTTCTCAAATTTTGTCAACACACTGATATAAATAACAATTAACAATTTACTTAAAGTATTTCCAATATTACTTTTTATCAATATCATCAAATGTTTTCACATCTATGTATGTCTGATGATTAAAAGGCATTTCACTTCCCATTCAGACAACCTATAAACGGTTATAATTGTTTATTATGATATATCGGTTGTTATGATATTTTTCTCAGGCAAATCGAATATCATTATAAGCAGGTTCCGCTGTATCAATCATGATAAGTTTCAAGTGTTCTCAGCTGGTGGGGATTTAAAAATTGAACAAATGTATGGGCTGACTCCCCTGCTAAGGGGCGGCGGCAAAAGGGGGTAATTTTACAATATTGATTTAATCGTCAAATTCTTTGGCACTAAGATATGAACATCAAGCATAATGTAGTTAGTAGCATTCCCAGGTGGTGGGGATACAAAAGTGTACAAATGAAAGGGCTGACCCTCCCCGGGAAAAGGGAGGGGAGGGGTGAAAAGGACACTTTGGCCATATAGCTTAAGTGCTTTCTTCTTAGGAACTAAGAGATGGATATCAATCATAATTGATTGGATTCATTTTCAGTTGGTGCAACCTCAGATTTTACCAGTTGAAAGGTTGACTCCCGTTTGGGCAGGGCCAAAAAGTGTTTTTAACTTGGAAATGATTAAAATGCCCAACCCATAACATATATACTATATACAATTGCTGAGTACAGTATAAGGAGACAGATACACATATTCTACCAGAATGACCCCATGGTATGACCCCAAACATGGAGACTAAGTTCCTGGGACTTAACTTTTAAAAGGTTGAGATCCCCACCCGTATACCATATTATGCAATTGCTAGGCAGAAAGTGACAGACACAATAATGATATCAGAAGTGACTCTGGGGTCTGGCCACACCCTGAAGGACTTGTTCCTGGATCATAACTTTGAAACTGCTGAGATCCTAACCCATTTAATTTGTCACATATGTATATTTGCTGTGCATGAAAGACAAATAAAGTCTTGGTACCCTGGGTCATAACATGGAAACTTCAGAGATCATCATATACTGTTATCATATTTACAATTGCTAAGCATGAAGATTTGGAGTCATATAAGTCATTGTTTATTGCAGGTTACATGGCTCCAGGCCACGGTACAGCCATTCCGCTACAGCAGCAGTTGGAACATGCCAATCAGAAGGCAGGGTTTAACGAAGAGAAGTACAAGATGCAGCAGGTGTGTAGTATCACTTGTGTATCCACTGACATGTTATCTTAAGGTCATTGAACTATGTGAGAAGGTGTATTTCTTTTCTGCTGCACAAATGTTACTGAACCATTGAATTGAAGCGTCCTGCATCCGTCGTCCGTCAAAACGCTACTAGTTCAATAGAAGGACTTGGACAAAAGAAAATCTAGAGAATCTTTGGACAAAGATGCCTCAAGTTTATATAAATGGAGAGTATAGCCCCCTTGGGGCAGAGTGGTGGGACCCAATAGGGGAAATAGAGGAACATCTTTCTCCTTCTGTACAAATGAAGGGATTTATACCAAATGTGGTCTGAAGCATGCTTATAGGGTAAAAAGAATCAATAATGTATGAACTGGGGTGTGTGGCCCCCTTTTTTGGTGCAGAAGGGTGGAGCTCATTAGGGGAAATAGAGGAAACCATTAAAGATCTTTCTCTTTTTGTACTGATAAAGGGATTTTAACCAAACTTGTTCTAGATCATCTTTGGAAAAAGGGAATTAAATTTTATATTAACGGAGGATGTGACACCCCTGGGGGCAGAGCCAAATAGGTATATCTTCTTCTTGTTCTTAACCAACCAATTTTTTTCAAGGCAGCTTTGAAGGAAGGGGCCTGAAATTTGTATAACAGAGGGTGTAGCCCCCCTCGGGTCAGAGGGGCGGGGCCCAATAGGGGAAATATAGCAAATTCTTTAAAATCCTTCTTCTGTAGGAATGAAAGGATTTGTTCCATATTTGGTCTGAAGCATTCTTGGGTGAAGGGGAACCAATTTTGTATACCCCATGGATCTGGCCCCCCAGGTGCCTGAGCGGCAGGGCCCAATAGGGGAAACATAGCAAATTATTCTTTAAAATCCTTCTTCTTCTGTAGGCATGAAAGGATTTAGTCCATATTTTGTCTGAAGCATCCATGGGTGAAGGGAACCAATTTGTATAAATGGTGGGTCTGGCCCCCCAGGGGCCTGAGGGGCGGGGCCAAATAGAGAAAATATAGCAAATTTTTTTTTAAAATCCTTCTTCTTCTGTAGACATGAAAGAATTTGTTCCATATTTGGTCAGAAGCATCCTTGGGGGAAGTGGGACAAAGTTTGTATAAATGGTGGGTCTAGCCCCCCTGGGGCTGAGGGGCAGGGCCCAATAGGGGAAATATAGCAAATTCTTTAAAATCCTTCTTCTTCTGTAGGAATAGAAGGATTTGTTCCATATTTGGTCTGAAGCATCCTTGGGTGAAAGGGAACCAATTTTGTATGAACCGTGGATCTGGCCCCCCAGGTGCCTGAGGGGCGGGGCCTAATAATGGAATTGTAGCAAATTATGCTTTAAAATCCTTCTTCTTCTGTAGGAATGAAAGGTTTTGGTCCATATTTGGTCAGAAGCGTCCTTGGGGGAAGGGGGACTAAGTTTGTATAAATGGTGGGTCTTGCCCCCCTGGGGGCTGAGGGGCGGGGCCCATTAGGGGAAATATAGCAAATTCTTTAAATCCTTCTTCTGTAGGAATGAAAGGATTTGTTCCATATTTGGTCTGAAGCATTCTTGGGTGAAGGGGAATCAATTTTGTATACCCCATGGATCTGGCCTCCCAGGTGCCTGAGCGGCAGGGCCCAATAGGGGAAACATAGCAAATTATTCTTTAAAATCCTTCTTCTTCTGTAGGAATGAAAGGATTTGGTCCATATTTGGTGTGGAACATCCTCGGGTAAAGGGGAACAAATTTTGTATAAATCAAGGGTCTGGCCCCCCAGGGGCCTGAGGGGTGGGGCCCGATAGGGGAAACATAGCAAATTATGCTTTAAAATCCTTCTTCTTCTGTAGGAATGAAAGGATTTGGTCCATATTTGGTGTGGAACATCCTCGGGTAAAGGGGAACAAATTTTGTATAAACGGTGTGTGGCCCCCCTTGGACCTGAGGGGTAGGGCCCAATAGGGGAAATAGAGATAAATCTTCAAAATCCTTCTTCTTCGGTAGGAATGACAGGATTTTGTCCATATTTGGTCTGAAGCATTCTTGGGTGAAGGGGAACCAATTTTGTATAAACGTTGTGTGTGACCCCCCTGTAGGCAGAGAGGCGGGGCCCAATAGGGAAAATAGAGGTAAAACCTTTAAAATCCTTCTACTAACATAGGGATTAAGGGATTTTATCCTAATTTAGTCTGGAGCATCCTTGGTCCAAGGGGACTCAATTTTGTATTAGCAGTAGGTCTCCGACGGGGGCAGAAGGGCGGGCCCAATAGGAGAAATAGAGGTAAAACATTTAAAATCCTTCTCCGACCATCGGGATTAAGGGATTTTATCCTGATTTAGTGTGGAGCATCCTTGGGTGACGGTGACTCAATTTTGTATAATTGGTGGGTATGACCCCCGTAGGGGTATAGGGGTGGGGCTCTGTTTGAAGTTTGTTCTCTATATCTGAAGTACTGGATGGATCTTTCTGAAATTTCATATGTACTTACAGCACCTACCATGGAGTGCTATATCGATCTTTACTTCATAACAATAACTTCAATTATATTCAGGTGAGCGATACAGGCCCTCTGGGCCTTTTGTACTGTAAATGTTATATGGTACTAATGCTATTTTTAGTTTTGTCAGTTATTAAAACTGATAAATGTAGACTCATCAATTTTATCCTTTTCCTGTGTGTTATAGATAGCAAAGCTGAGTCATGATGTTGTAACATCAGAATTGTTGGTGGTACACAGAATTAATGTCAATATAGCCACAAAATGTCTAATTATTGAGCTGGGTTTTTTCCCCAGTCACAGATAAGAGGTGTGGCACCATTGTCAGGACCACAAGCAGGACTTGTTCATCAACAGATTCAACTTCAACAACAGCAGCAGCAGCAACAACAACAACAACAACAACAACAACAACAACAACAACAACAACAACAGCAGCAGCAGCAGCAACAGCAACAACAACAACAACAACAACAGCAGCAGCAGCAGCAACAGCAACAGCAGCAGCAACAACAACAACAACAACAACAGCAATCAAGCAAGGTGAGAGATATTTAGAATGTTTCCCCTTTAGCTGTATTTCTGCCTAAAAAATGTGTTCGGACTCTTAACTATTAACTCTTTCCGTACTGCAACTACGGTCTGGATTCCGTTTCGGATGTCCGTACTAGACTCGCCCCCGCACATATAATAAAATGGCAGATTGTTAATGTTCTTTTTAGACGAGGTGTAACTGCTGCAAGAAATAAAAAGGTAACTGTGAACAAATGTTGTTATTGTTTCGTGTTGTTGTTTATAGACAAACACATCTTCATTTTAGCAGCATTATGACTAACTGGCAGCCGATAATATCTGAGAAATCAACATTTGTCCGGCAACGAATGATGCAATTCTTTGTATTCAAAACAGCACATTAAGTGCATGTTCCCAGTGGGGATTAATTTTGGTTACTAAGTTGTTAAGTTTTATTTTCCAGTTCAAGTAATTTACCTTCATTTATTGTGGTCTTATTTATAAACTGAAGTTTATAAGTTGATACACTCTTTCCAGTGATATAATATAATTTTAATATTGGTTCAGTATTAAAGTTGCTGTTTTGCCACGAGTTGGTGGCAATACACATCTCGATCAAATAAATTGATAAGCAATGTAAGAAAATAACTTTATCCTATGTAAATTATGTGGGATAGAAATGGCTTGGCTGTAGAATTTGGGTTCAGAAACCTCAGCATGCCTGAGATGCTATCCTAAATTCTGTACCCTCGGGTTCATTTCTATTCTACATATATACATATAAAAGAGTTATATAGGGGCCAAGTGNCCCCCCCCACACACACACAGGGGCAAGAATGACAGAAGTCTGTCCAAAATTGGGATGAAGCACTCTTTGGTGAAGGGGAACCAATTTTGTATTAACGTTGGGTCTGACCACCTCCTTGGTTCAGGGAGGCGGGGCCCAATAAGGGATATAGAGGAATAGCTTTATTATCTTTCTCCTTCCATTGGGATGAAGGTATTTTGACCAAATTTGAACAGTAGCATACTATTGGGAAGGGAAATAAATTTTGTATAAATGGTGGGTTTGAACCCCCTGAGGGCAAGGGGGCGGGCCAAATAGGGAAAATAGAAAAAATAGCTGTATAATCCTTCTACTTCTGTAGGAATGACAGGATTTTGTCCATATTTGGTCTAAAGCATCCTTTGGTGAAGGGGGACTTAATTTTGTATAACAGTGGGTCTGGCCCCCTTGGGGGGCAGAGGGGCGGGGCCCAATAGGGGAAACATATCAAATTCTTCAAAATCCTCCTTTTCATGTAGGAATAACAGGATTTTGTCCAATTGCATGTACATGTAAATATAACCCCTGACTAACCATGTAATACATGTACACTACCAGCAACATCTGGCTATTTCAACTTCAATTTTGCTAACATTCCAGGTGAGCTATACAGGCCCTCTGGGCCTCTTGTTCTGCATTGCTCAGGACCTAACTGAAAATGTGACCTAGTTCTTTTCAAAAAAACCTTTTTGATATTTAATTTTACTTAATGTGTATCTCTATACAAATGTAACATTAAACCATAATGTTGTCTATTAATTTACAGGGAAGTATAATGACAGGATACTCAGCCAGAGGCCAAGCTCCTCCTACCACCACTACATATAAACCAACCAGCAACCCTGTAAGTATAGACTCCACCCAACACCACTACACACCAACCAGTTACCCCCCTGTAAGTATAGACTCCCCCCACCACCACTACACACCAACCAGCTATACCCCCCTGTAAGTATAGACTCCACCCAACACCACTACACACCAACCACCTACCCCCCTGTAAGTATAGACTCCAACAACCACCACTAAAAACCAACCAGCTATCCCCCTGTAAGTATACACTCAACCCACCACCACTACACACCAACCAGCTACCCCCCTGTAAGTATACACTCAACCCACCGCCACTACACACCAACCAGCTACCCCCCTGTAAGTATACACTCAACCCATCACCACTACAAACCAACCAGTTACCCCCCTGTAAGTATAGACTCCAGCCACTGCCAATACAAACCAACCAGCTACCCCCTGTAAGTATACACTCAACCCACCACCACTACACACCAACCAGCTACCCCCCTGTAAGTATAGACTCCAAGCACCGCTACTACAAACCAACCAGCTACCCCCCTGAAAGTATACACTCCACCCACCACCACTACAAACAAACCAGCTTCCCCCCTGTAAGTATAGACTCTAGCAACTGCCAATACAAACCAACCAGCTACCCCCCTGTAAGTATGCACTCAACCCACCACCACTACAAACCAACCAGCTACCCCCCTGTAAGTAAAGACTCCAGCCACCGCCACTACAAACCAACCAGCTTCCCCCTGAAAGTATAGACTCCAGCCACCGCTACTACAAACCAACCAGCTACCCCCCTGTAAGTATACACTCCATCCATCACCACTACAAACCAACCAGCTACCCCCCTGTTAGTAAAGACTCCAGCCACCGCCACTACAAACCAACCAGCTTCCCCCTGTAAGTATAGACTCCAGCCACCGCTACTACAAACCAACTAGCTACCAGCTTCCCCCCTGTAAGTATGCACTCAACCCACCACCACTACAAACCAACCAGCTTCCCCCCTGTAAGTATAGACTCCAGCAACTGCCAATACAAACCAACCAGCTAACCCCCTGTAAGTATACACTCCATCCATCACCACTACAAACCAACCAGCTATCCCCCTGTAAGTATACACTCAACCCACCACCACTACAAACCAACCAGCTACCCCCCTGTTAGTAAAGACTCCAGCCACCGCCACTACAAACCAACCAGCTACCCCCCTGTAAGTATATACTCAATCCACTACCACTACAAACCAACTAGCAACCCCCCTGTAAGTATGCACTCAACCCACCACCACTACAAACCAACCAGCTACCCCCCTGTAAGTATAGCCTCCAGCTACCGCCACTACACACCAACCAGCTATCCCCCTGTAAGTATACACTCCACCCACCACCATTACTAACCAACCATCTACCCCCTGTAAGTATAAGATCAATCCACCACCACTACAAACCAACCAGCAACCCCCCTGTAAGTATGCACTCAACCCACCACCACTACAAACCACCCAGCTTCCCCCCTGTAAGTATAGACTCCAGCAACTGCCCATACAAACCAACCAGCTACCCCCCTGTAAGTATACACTCCACCCACCACCACTACACACCAACCAGCTACCCCCCTGTAAGTATACACTCAACCCACCACCACTACACACCAACCAGCTACCCCCCTGTAAGTATAGACTCCAGCTACCGCCACTACAAACCAACCAGCTACCCCCCTGTAAGTTTACACTCCATCCATCACCACTACACACCAACCAGCTTCCCCCCTGTAAGTATAGACTCCAGCCACCGCTACTACAAACCAACCAGCTCCCCCCCTGTAAGTATAGACTCCAGCTACCGCCACTACACACCAACCAGCTACCCCCCTGTAAGTATAGACTCCACCCACCGCCACTACAAACCAACCAGCTACCCCCTGTAAGTAAAGACTCCACCCATCACCACTACACACCAACCAGCTACCCCCCTGTAAGTATACACTCCACCCACCACCACTACACACCAACCAGCTACCCCCCTGTAAGTATACACTCCACCCATCACCACTACAAACCAACCAGCTACCCCCCTGTTATTATAGACTCCACCCACCACCACTACAAACCAACCAGCTATCCCCCTGTAAGTATACACTCCACCCACCACTGATACAAACCAACCAGGAACCCCCCTCACTGGAGTGATGAAAGGTCTAGGTCTATGCTGGAGTGATGGAAGGTCTAGGTCTTTGTTGGAGTGTTGGTAGGTCTTGGGTCTTTGCTGGAGTGATGGTAGATCAAAGTCTTTGCTGGAGTGATTGAAGGTCTAGGTCTTTGCCGGAGTGATGGAAGGTCTAGGTCTTTGCTGGAGTGATGGAAGGTCTAGGTCTTTGCTGGAGTGATTGTAGGTCTAGGTCTTTGCCGGAGTGATGGAAGGTCTAGGTCTTTGCTAGAGTGATTGTAGGTCTAGGTCTTTGCCGGAGTGATGGAAGGTCTAGGTCTTTGCTGGAGTGATTGTAGGTCTAGGTCTTTGCCGGAGTGATGGAAGGTCTAGGTCTTTGCTGGAGTGATGGAAGGTCTTGGTCTTTGCTGGATTGATGGAAGGTCTAGGTCTTTGATGGAATGATGGAGGTCTAGGTCTTTGCTGGAGTGATGGAAGGTCTAGGTCTTTGCTGGATTGATTGTAGGTCTAGGTCTTTGCTGGAGTGATGGAAGGTCTAGGTCTTTGCTGGAGTGATTGTAGGTCTAGGTCTTTGCCGGAGTGATGGAAGGTCTAGGTCTTTGCCGGATTGATGGTAGGTCTAGGTCTTTGCTGGAGTGATGGAAGGTCTAGGTCTTTGCTGGAGTGATTGTAGCTCTAGGTCTTTGCCGGAGTGATGGAAGGTCTAGGTCTTTGCCGGAGTGATGGTAGGTCTAGGTCTTTGCTGGAGTGATGGAAGGTCTAGGTTTTGCTGGAGTGATTGTAGCTCTAGGTCTTTGCCGGAGTGATGGAAGGTCTAGGTCTTTGCCGGAGTGATTGTAGGTCTAGGTCTTTGCTGGAGTGATGGAAGGTCTAGGTTTTGCTGGAGTGATTGTAGGTCTAGGTCTTTGCCGGAGTGATGGAAGGTCTAGGTCTTTGCTGGAGTGATTGTAGGTCTAGGTCTTTGCTGGAGTGATGGAAGGTCTAGGTTTTGCTGGAGTGATTGTAGGTCTAGGTCTTTGCCGGAGTGATGGAAGGTCTAGGTCTTTGCTGGAGTGATTGTAGGTCTAGGTCTTTGCTGGAGTGATGGAAGGTCTAGGTTTTGCTGGAGTGATTGTAGGTCTAGGTCTTTGCCGGAGTGATGGAAGGTCTAGGTCTTTGCTGGAGTGATTGTAGGTCTAGGTCTTTGCTGGAGTGATGGAAGGTCTAGGTTTTGCTGGAGTGATTGTAGGTCTAGGTCTTTGCCGGAGTGATGGAAGGTCTAGGTCTTTGCTGGAGTGATTGTAGGTCTAGGTCTTTGCTGGAGTGATGGTAGGTCTAGGTCTTTGCTGGAGTGATGGTAGGTGTAGGTCTTGGCTTGAGTGATTGTAGGTCTAGGTCTTTGCCGGAATGATGGAAGTGCCGGAGTGATGGAAGGTCTAGGTCTTTGCCGGAGTGACGGAAGGTCTAGGTCTTTGCTGGAGTGATGGTAGGTGTAGGTCTTTGCTGGAGTGATTAAAGGTCTAGGTCTTTGCTTGAGTGATAGTAGGTCTAGGTCTTTGCTGGAGGGATGGTAGGTCTAGGTCTTTGCTGGAGTGATTAAAGGTCTAGGTCTTTGCTTGAGTGATAGTAGGTCTAGGTCTTTGCTGGAGTGATGGTAGGTGTAGGTCTTGGCTTGAGTGATTGTAGGTCTAGGTCTTTGCCGGAATGATGGAAGTGCCGGAGTGATGGAAGGTCTAGGTCTTTGCCGGAGTGACGGAAGGTCTAGGTCTTTGCTGGAGTGATGGTAGGTGTAGGTCTTGGCTGGAGTGATTGTAGGTCTAGGTCTTTGCCGGAGTGTTGGAAGGTCTAGGTCTTTGCTGGAGTGATGGTAGGTGTAGGTCTTGGCTTGAGTGATTGTAGGTCTAGGTCTTTGCCGGAGTGATGTAAGGTCTAGGTCTTTGCTGGAGTGATTGTAGCTCTAGGTCTTTGCCGGAGTGATGGAAGGTCTAGGTCTTTGCCGGATTGATGGTAGGTCTAGGTCTTTGCTGGAGTGATTAAAGGTCTAGGTCTTTGCTTGAGTGATAGTAGGTCTAGGTCTTTGCTGGAGTGATGGTAGGTGTAGGTCTTGGCTTGAGTGATTGTAGGTCTAGGTCTTTGCCGGAGTGATGTAAGGTCTAGGTCTTTGCTGGAGTGATTGTAGCTCTAGGTCTTTGCCGGAGTGATGGAAGGTCTAGGTCTTTGCCGGAGTGATCGTAGGTCTAGGTCTAGTAGGTCTTGGCTGGAGTGATTGTAGGTCTAGGTCTTTGCCGGAATGATGGAAGGGTCTAGGTCTTTGCTGGAGTGATTGTAGGTCTAGGTTTTTGCTGGAGTGATGGAAGGTCTAGGTCTTTGCCGGAGTGACGGAAGGTCTAGGTCTTTGCTGGAGTGATGGTAGGTGTAGGTCTTGGCTTGAGTGATTGTAGGTCTAGGTCTTTGCCGGAGTGTTGGAAGGTCTAGGTCTTTGCTGGAGTGATTGTCTGGAGTGATTGTAGGTCTAGGTCTTTGCCGGAATGATGGAAGGTCTAGGTCTTTGCTGGAGTGATGGTAGGTGTAGGTCTTGGCTTGAGTGATTGTAGGTCTAGGTCTTTGCCGGAATGATGGAAGGTCTAGGTCTTTTCTGGAGTGATGGAAGGTCTAGGTCTTTGCTGGAGGGATGGTAGGTCTAGGTCTTTGCTGGAGTGATCGAAGGTCTAGGTCTTTGCCGGAGTGATAGTGATGGAAGGTCTAGGTTTTGCTGGAGTGATTGTAGGTCTGGGTCTTTGCTGGAGTGTTGGAAGGTCTAGGTTTTGCTGGAGTGATTGTAGGTCTAGGTCTTTGCCGGAGTGATCGTAGGTCTAGGTCTATGCTGGAGTGATGGAAGGTCTAGGTCTTTGCCGGAGTGATCGTAGGTCTAGGTCTAGTAGGTCTTGGCTGGAGTGATTGTAGGTCTAGGTCTTTGCCGGAGTGATGGAAGGACTAGGACTTCGCTGGGGTGATTGTAGGTCTAGGTCTTTGCTGGAGTGATGGTAGGTGTAGGTCTTTGCTGGAGTGATTAAAGGTCTAGGTCTTTGCTTGAGTGATAGTAGGTCTAGGTCTTTGCTGGAGTGATGGTAGGTGTAGGTCTTGGCTGGAGTGATTGTAGGTCTAGGTCTTTGCTGGAGGGATGGAAGGTCTAGGTTTTGCTGGAGTGATTGTAGGTCTAGGTCTTTGCCGGAGTGATGTAAGGTCTAGGTCTTTGCTGGAGTGATTGTAGGTCTAGGTTTTTGCTGGAGTGATGGAAGGTCTAGGTCTTTGATGGAGTGACAGAAGGTCCAGGTCTTTGCTGGAGTGATGGAAGGTCTAGGTCTTTGATGGAGTGACAGAAGGTCCAGGTCTTTGCTGGAGTGATGGAAGGTCTAGGTCTTTGATGGAGTGACAGAAGGTCCAGGTCTTTGCTGGAGTGATGGAAGGTCTAGGTCTTTGATGGAGTGACGGAAGGTCCAGGTCTTTGCCGGATTGATGGTAAGTCTAGGTCTTTGCTGGAGTGATTGTAGGTCTAGGTCTTTGCCGGAGTGATGGAAGGTCTAGGTCTTTGCCGGATTGATGGTAGGTCTAGGTCTTTGCTGGAGTGATCGAAGGTCTAGGTCTTTGCCGGAGTGATTGTAGGTCTAGGTCTTTGCCAGAGTGATGGAAGGTCTAGGTCTTTGCCAGATTGATGGTAGGTCTAGGTCTTTGCTGGAGTGATGGAAGGTCTAGGTCTTTGCTGGAGTGATAGTAGGTCTAGGTCTTTGCTGGAGTGATGGAAGGTCTAGGTCTTTGCTGGAGTGATTGTAGGTCTAGGTCTTTGCCGGAGTGATCGTAGGTCTAGGTCTATGCTGGAGTGATGGAAGGTCTAGGTCTTTGCTGTAGTGATGGAAGGTCTTGGTCTTTGCTGGATTGATGGAAGGTCTAGGTCTTTGATGGAGTGACGGAAGGTCTAGGTCTTTGCTGGAGTGATGGAAGGTCTAGGTCTTTGCTGGAGTGATGGTAGGTCTAGATCTTTGCTGGAGGGATGGAAGGTCTAGGTCTTTGCTGTAGTGATGAAAGGTCTAGGTGTTTGCTGGAGTGATGGTAGGTCTAGGTCTATGCTGGAGGGATGGAAGGCCTAGGTCTTTGCTGTAGTGATGGAAGGTCTTGGTCTTTGCTGGAGGGATGGTAGGTCTAGGTCTTTGCTGGAATGATGTAAGGTCTAGGTCTTTGCTGGAGGGATGGAAGGTCTAGGTCTTTGCTGTAGTGATGGTAGGTCTAGGTCTTTGCCGGATTGATTGTAGGTCTAGGTCTTTGCCGGAGTGATTGTAGGTCTAGGTCTTTGCCGGAATGATGGAAGGTCTAGGTCTTTGCTGAGGGATGGAAGGTCTAGGTCTTTGCCGGAGTGATGGAAGGTTTAGGTCTTTGCTGGAGTGATGGTAGGGCTAGGTCTTTGCTGGAGTGATGTAAGGTCTAGGTCTTTGCTGGAGGGATGGAAGGTCTAGGTCTTTGCTGTAGTGATGGTAGGTCTAGGTCTTTGCGGGAGTGATGGAAGGTCTAGGTCTTTGCTCGAGTGATGGAAGGTCTAGATCTTTGCTGGAGTGATTGTGGGTCTAGGTCTTTGCTGGAGTGTTGAAGGTCTAGGGCTTTGCTGGAGGGATGGTAGGGCTAGGTCTTTGCTGGAGTGATGGCAGGTCTAGGTCTTTGCTGGAATGATGTAAGGTCTAGGTCTTTGCTGGAGTGATGGCAGGTCTAGGTCTTTGCTGGAGTGATAGTAGGTCTAGATCTTTGCTGGAGTGATTGTAGGTCTAGGTCTTTGCCGGAATGATGGAAGGTCTAGGTCTTTGCTGTAGTGATGGAAGGTCTTGGTCTTTGCTGGAGGGATGGTAGGGCTAGGTCTTTGCTGGAGTGATGGACGGTCTAGGTCTTTGCCGGATTGATGGGAGGTCTAGGTCTTTGCTGGAGTGATGGAAGGTCTAGATCTTTGCTGTAGTGATGAAAGGTCTAGGTCTTTGCTGGAGTGATGGTAGGTCTAGATCTTTGCTGGAGTGATGGAAGGTCTAGGTCTTTGCTGGAGTGATGGAAGGTCTAGGTCTTTGCTGGAGTGATGGTAGGTCTAGGTCTTTGCTGGAGTGATGGAAGGTCTAGGTCTTTGCTGGAGTGATGGAAGGTCTAGGTCTTTGCTGGAGTGATGGTAGGTCTAGGTCTTTGTTGGAGTGACGGAAGGTTTTGGTCTTTGCAGGAGTGATGGTACGTCTAGGTCTTTGCTGGAGTGATGGTAGGTCTAGGTCTTTGCTGTAGTGATGGTAGGTCTAGGTCTTTGAGCGTATCAGTGACGCTACCTGGTGTTCTCAATTTGTAATCCCCACATAGAAATCACGCAGCTCGTCTTTGGGTTTTCTCCATTTTAGTAATGTCAGATTGCAGGTAAGGGTCCCTTATGATGGCTCTGTATTCTAAGGTTGGTCGTACTAAGGTGATGTTTGCTGTTTTCCTGGTGTTTTAAGGACATTGTTGTAAATTTCTGCAGATGAATCCAAGTGTTGAATTTGTTTTCGTACATATATTGTTGATGTGTGTTATCCTTTTGAGGTTAGATGCCAAAGTAACCCCCAGGTACAGATTTGTCTTCCTTCAAAATGGTCTTGTTCATTTGGTAGAAGACTTTTGAATGGAAAGTCAGAATCAAGATCTTTTACATCCATGTTAAGCTTCTTTTCTATCTACATCATGAAAGACTGCATTTTGTTAGCCATGGTAGTTTTCTTTCTCGACACACACATGTGCCTGGCTTAGGAGTCATTACATGGCAGTTTTCAAAAATTATTAAATGTAATTGCAGACACTATAAGTTAGTATAATTTAGAACAATTGTATGTTTTGTGGCATATTTTCTAAAAATGTTGTGGTTTATGATATTTTTTGACAGCAATTTTTTCATTATAGTCCCTTTAATGCTCTTACAATTTCAGGCAAACTTTCCAACACAAGGAGCACCAGGCCGACCCTCATTACCAGGACAACACCCCAACAGATATTACTGAACTCACAACTACCAGGACACCCCAACAGATATTACTGAACTCACAACTACCAGGACACCCCTACAGATATTACTGAACTCACAACTACGAGGACCACCCCAACAGATATTACTGACCTCACAACTCCCAGGACCACCCCAACAGATATTGCTGAACTCACAACTACCAGGACACCCCAACAGATATTACTGAACTCACTACTGAATACATATATGTGGATTCTCATTCTCTTAGCAACAGCATTGAAGTTGAAAGGAAATGTGGTGGTGTGATTATAGCTGTAACTTAATCTGCTCAAACAATTTGGTCATCACATACTTTGCAAGCATGTATATAGTTATTTAAGGTGGACATCATTTAGAATCTGCACAATGTTTAGCTTACCTGAACCAAGGACCAAGTCGAGGTTAAAAAGTACAGTGGAGTCTGTCATCAGTCAGTCAGTCCGTTGTCTGTCTTCCAATAACTTCTGAAAACGACTTCTTCTTCCGCTCACTGGAATTTGATTGACTTTGACTGGAAGCATCCGTGGGTGGTGGAGATTAAAAATTGTACAAATTCTTGTGTCATATCTTTGAAATGGTTGAGATCTCCACCCAATAACTATATATACGTTTGATAGGAATAACATGATATATACAGTCATAATATTATTATTTGACTCTTGGGGTACACCCCACCCCATCACCAAATATATGTTTGATAAACATGAAGAGGTTTACACTTTTATGATGGTAGAATGGACCCTGGGGTCTTTCTCCAGCCCTAGGGATTTTAATTTCGAGATCTTGACCTTGAAAACATTGAGATGCTCTTCCCATATACATATAAACCATTCCTGGCATAAAGATCAAGGTGGACGATACAGGACCGCAAGGCCTCATGTTCCTCAATGCAACTGATGAAGGGCAGGCGCCCGGAAGTTTTTAATAAGTAGATTGCTTTTAAAATGTATGTTTCCCTCAGGAGACTTTTTGATGTTATGGTTAGCCTGCATAATTTGCAAGTTTTTGGATGTGACATCCGTTTCACAGTTATATACTTAAAGTTGTTGTGTAGAGGTTTACCTTGTTAGAGTAAGCTAATACCATCCATTGCTGTCCGTCATCTGTCATTTGTCTAAACAGTGCCACTAGATAACAGTACCAACTAAAAATGTTTGCATGATTCAATAAAAGCAAATGTGTAGTAATATTAACAGTACTACATGTACCGTTGCATGACCTCTAAGGAAACTCCACATTTCATGGATGCACTTTCTATCTCGTTGAAAGTCGAACCGCTTCGTTGCCTGATGAGCGTAGCCGCTGCACAACCGCGAACACGGAATAAATTTCTGACTTTTTGCAACTAAAATATTTTACATGGTATTTATGTTTTAAATTTAGATCTACTGTCAATTATTAAGATAATCAATGCTTGTTTAACATGCTGGTAATGTAAATTAAATTATTAAAAAATATGCAAAGTGGAACTATTTGTTTATTGCTCAACTGTGTATTTCGTCACCGTTGACAACGCATCATCTTTCCCGCGAAAAAGGCTGTTCAATTAATGTTGTTTTCATGACAGTGTTTTGCTTTTTAACGTGAAAAAAGATGACTTTTCCCTTAATTTCAAATAATAAAGGTGGATGTAATAGAATGTAAATATAAGGTTTGAAATGCATCTTTTTAGCATTTATAAGGGTATGCAACACAGTTCCGTTCAAACCTATTCTCCAAGATGCGCTACGTGCATCATGGAATATGTTTGAATGGAACTGTGTTGCATACCCTCATGAATGTTAAAAAGATGCATTTCAAACCTTAAATGAATTCTTCTTTAGAACCACATTGCCAATATAAACCATGTTAAATAGGAGGTACTCATTGTACTCATGGCCTACACATATATAGCCCCTTGGGAGCTTATATTGGTGAAAAAGAAATAGCATTTTAGACATCTAAAACGATCTGTGTAACTAACAGCTGTCCTATAGGATTGTGTGGCTGGGAACATGGTAAACAAACTTACAAAGGAAAATAGTCTGGCTAATAGACGATGCTTTTCTAGACATGTGAAATATTGGAATATTCAAACACTGAAAGGTTCTGTGATATCCGTTGAGTTGAGGTTACTAGGTCAAAACAGTTTTTTGAAAGAAGTACACTATATAAAAATGTTAACAGTTAAAATAAAGATTAATCAATCAAAAGTCTGAAATAGACAGAAATTGTGATTTGCTAAATTAAACCCCTGCAAATAACTTTTGGGCACAAAATTGCGAAATTTTAACCCAGTGAAATTTAACAGCTATACAGTACATCTTGCTACAAAATTATGAAGTTCTGAACACAGAACATAAATTAATACCTTTACCAGTGATAAACATCACAGGGGTCAAATTGGTTAAAACACACAAACCACTTCTTCTGAAGAACTGATGGCTGATGACCATAATATTTGGACAGTAGCTTGCTTGCTCAGTGATGCAAGGTTTGCAAACATAAATGTTATTGACACTTACTCAAGGTCACCGGAGTCTAATTCATTGAAAACATTCAAATGACTCCTTGTTAAGATTGGAAAGGTCTTGCTTCATAGTATCTTGCTTCATAGTATCAAGTTTGTGAAAGCCACTTAAATCAGGTAAGCGTCTTCATGGCCATTAGTCCTCTTAATATCTCAAGACAATCTCTGGAATTGATTTTTCTTAGACGTTTATCTAATTTTACTGCTATCGCAAATAATTCTCATTTAGTTCTATTAGAAGATTGTTTTTTTTATCATTGTGAAAATGCATTAAGATTGTTTGATTGCGTGAAAAACTTAACAGCAGACTGCAGTTGAGATTGATAAATGTGTCACTGATACATCAATTAGCTTAGTATATCGTAATTAATAGCAAAAGTATGTATATTATAATTGAACTTGCAACTACAGGTTTTTGTCTCACCACCACGAAGTGGAAGCCAGACTTACAATGTAGGTGTTGCTCTTCCGGCGACGGCGGCATCAACATTAAGTTTTTGTGTTTAAGTAAGTTTCTCTGAAATTATAAGTGCTTCACCAACCAAACTTGGACCATAGATGCATCTTTGGTAGTAAGTACATCTCCAGCTTTGCATCAAATGCTGGATGTGGGATACCATTCATGGTCCATTGACTTTATCAGCATCACCAACCAAACTTGGACCATAGATGCATCTTAGGTAGTACATCTCAGCCCATGCATCAAATGCTGGATGCGGCATACTTCGTGGTCCATTGACTTTGTCAGCATTTCAATCAACATTAAGATTTTGTGTTTAACTTAGTTTCTCTGATATGTGCATTGATGGTTAAAGCGGGGCATAGGCGAGACATATCAATCTGAATGGCTTGTTATTGTTTGATATTTAATTGGTGTAGATGTTTGTTTTCAGCATTTTTTTCACAAACTGTATAACTACCTGTAAACAACACAAAGCAAATAATATCCAACATCCATATTATGTCGCAATAAAAATTGCCTTCATGCGGATGTTGTCAAGTTATCTTTACTTTGAATTAACAATGAAGTACATGAACGACCCTTGCTCTAGCTGTTGTAAGAGGTTAATCAAAAGATTAGATACAATAGTGATACTGTTCCAGCAGACTGTAACAAGGTACTCCAAGACAGTGATCAGTGTTATATTAACTGTGTATAAAGATTATTTTCTCTATACAGGAGTTTGATTGCATGGCTATTTTCACATTTTTGTGGTGAGAGGAATCAGCAAATTCAACATGACGGTAAAGACGACTGGTGAAGTAAATACATTAATATATTTGAACATATCCATTCTGTTTTAATTCTACATGAATGAACAAACGAATAAAAGAAGACAAGCAGCTCCTGAACTCAGGTTTCAATAACTATATTGATAATTGTGCTGACTAGTTATGGCCTGGCCTCGTTAGAGTACAGCTATTTAGTGCTTACTAGCTATGGCCTGGCCTCGTTAGAGTACAGCTATTTAGTGCTGACTAGTTATGGCCTGGCCTGGTTAGAGTACAGCTATTTAGTGCTGACTAGTTATGGCCTGGCCTCGTTAGAGTACAGCTATTTGGTGCTGACAAGTTATGGCCTGGTAGGTAGGGCTGGTTAGAGTACAGCTATTTAGTGCTGACTAGTTATGGCCTGGTAGGTAGGTTTCGTCAGAGTACAGCTATTAGGTGCTGACTAAGTTATGGCCTGGCCTGCATTGTCAGAGTACAGCTATCTAGTGCTGACTAGTTATGGCCTGGTAGGTAGGGCTGGTCAGAGTACAGCTATTTAGTTCTGACTAGTTATGGCCAGGTAGGTAGGGCTGGTTAGAGTACAGCTATTTAGTGCTGACTAGTTATGGCCTGGTAGGTAGGCCTCATCAGAGTTCAGCTATTTAGTGCTGACTAGTTATGGCCGGGTAGGTAGGGCTGGTCAGAGTACAGCTATTTGGTGCTGACTAGTTATGGCCTGGTAGGTAGGGCTGGTCAGAGTACAGCTATTTAGTTCTGACTAGTTATGGCCAGGTAGGTAGGGCTGGTTAGAGTACAGCTATTTAGTGCTGACTAGTTATGGCCTGGTAGGTAGGGTTGGTCAGAGCTAGTACACCTATTTAGTGCTGACTAGTTATGGCCTGGTAGGTAGGGCTGGTCAGAGTACAGCTATTTAGTGCTGACTAGTTATGGCCTGGCCTCGTCAGAGTACAGCTATTTAGACTATTCAAACTTTCTGCTTTGTTATTATGTTGTGAACAACATTTAAAAAAAAAAAAATGTATGTTATTGATGTTTGGTTTAGATTCCACACTTGCAAATATGGTACTGAGATCATGTGAGATGACACAGTCGTGTGCGTGTTCAGTTTTGAAAGGAACAATAGTAAGATGCATAGATATTTAGATAAGTATTATATACATTGACAAGCAATAGAAACGCAACCCCCCTTAAATGCCTGAAACTATTGTTAGTCGTGTTGAATAGCATGGTATCATACAAATTCACCATCAATTCACGGTTGATTGAACTCTGTCATACTACACATTCTCTTGTCCGTGATACTTTATAATTAATACATAGCCTGATTAGCATGCGCACTGATACACGTGGCCGCATTGCATGCACCCCAGACCTGTTTATCATTTTCCTGGTATTGGGGTAAGAATTGTCCCGTAAAAGAAATTTGTTTGTGATTACGTCAAAATGCCTCGACTAACTAACGATACACGCAACAGGGCAGTGCAGTTACTATTGGCTGGAAACTCCCAAAATGCTGTGGCGAGAGCACTGAATGTCCACCTGCGCAACTGGTTCAGAAACTGCACAAAAAACTGCAAATGAGACACCAGGGACACACAATCCTAGAATAAGCCGAGATACCGTGCTGAGGCATCTCTATTCCTATGGCATTAAGCTGTGTCGCATTGCAGTGGAAATGCCCTTGAACTGTCATTGATGTGACGTCAGACTCCAGCGACACTATCCAAACATGTTTCCTATACAAAACGATGGCGCTGTGAACTCTTCTCTGACAAGTCACCATTCACATTTTTCTGCTTAGATGGGTACATGTCAGTGTGTTTTTCAACGTCTTGGTGAACGTTAATGCCGATAACTGCATGGTAGAATGCGACAGGTTTGGTGGTATACGTAGCAGCATTAATATGGTGTCTGTATTGGCCGCAAAACCCCCTTAGTCGTCATTAAAGGCAATTTGACAGTTCAACGGTACATTGACGTTATTCTACAACATGTCGTTGTGCCGTTTGTCTGCTAGCTTAATGTAATCTTTGAACAAGAAAATCCTCGGTGTGGCGAGACGTACAATGGACTATCTTCGCCAAAACCATATTGACACGTTACCTTGGCCCCATACAGTCCCAACCTCTCGCCAATAGAGCATATGTGGGACATGTTGGATCGACGCAATCAAACGTGCGCCACCATATACTTGTGTATTATATGGCTGTAGTGTTAGTGACAGTAGCGTAGCCTAATGGTGGTGTGCAACCTTGTGTAACTAGAGTGATTCCCCTTGATGGAACTCTTGTTCGTTTTGTATTATAAAACCATGCGTTTTGGATAAAGTTGTTTACCGAAGATTGTCTGACGTGTGTCATCTTTAATACTGGCGGTGCATCCACCAGAGACTGCACTCTACCCGCTCTGCGCCAGAAGAGTGGCAGAACATCCCTATGGCACATATAAACCGTCGTATCAACTCTATGCATTGCAGAATTCAAGCAGCAACAAATACTAATAGGGATCATGCTCGTTATTGAAGTTGGACAATTCCAATGGCCACCCCCTCTTCAGTCTTGACTGTTGTCTTGCCAAAGTGATTATCGCTAGTGCTAAATTAACTGAATTATCCAATATAATATTAATAAAATCTATTACCTGTAACTGAGCGAGATCGGGTTAAGATTCTGTAACAAAATCCCAACCGAGGTAAACAGAATCTTGGCCCGAGACTGAGATAACCCGATCTTGCTCAATTACAGGTAATTGACTTTTTTTTTTCGCACCTTTTAGTTCGTAAAAAAAAAGATAATGACCCCTTCACTACTTAAGCTACATTTGAATGCTCCCGCGTAAAAATGTAGTCCATTCTTACATAGATGTAATACATATTCAGTGTAGATTATATTTTATCTACAACATCAAATATCGAACAACATCAAAACTATATTTAAGGAATGATTTTTATTTTTTCAACATTTATGAGGTCATAACAACAATGGGTTTATGGACATATTGAATGAATCGCGTTAGCGATTCATGTAAAATATGTCCAAAAACCCATTGTTGTTATGACCTCATAAATGTTGAAAAAATAAATATCATTCCTTATATTTACATTGACGAATCCTTTCAGTGGATCGATATAACAACGAATAAAACAAATAAACAGGGTTTGTTCCTGCTTATACACGGGTGCAACGCAGTGGCGAGAACAGTGTTTTTTCGCGGGGAAATGTGACACTATCGTGAGAGATCTTAGCAACCGTCAACAACAATAACACAACAAAATGTAGTTCCATATTCAATGTTTATTTGTAGCACAGGACACGTGAATACGTGGATATTTCACAAAGCACAGTTCAATAATATTTTAAGATGTAAGAATTAAGCATCTAGTTCGGTCGTTCCGAGTGAGTAGTTTTTGTAGTGTATTACTACGCAGTGTGATCAGGTTACTATCAGTTCCCACGTGCTGAGATTCTATGAACACCTGTGTTATGCATTTATGAATGTAATTTTTGTCAATGGGTCTAAGCATACAGAATGTAAATATATACATATAATAACAACAAAACAAAAAAATTATAATGCAAATTGTCAATTTCGTGCGGATGAATACATAAACTTCCGCGAAATGTCACGTAAAGGTGCAAGACAGATCAGAGGAGATTTATAGAATCTATCGCTACCGGTTGTGTAAGATAGAGAAATTTCAACACGAGGACTAAGATTTTATGTCCAGAACAAGGCTTGTCGAGTTCTGGACAAAAAATCTTAGTCCGAGGGTTGAGATTTTTCTATCTTACACAACCAGTAGCGATTGATTATTTTTCTACCATATCTAACAGTATTTTAATGTGAAATAAAGGTAAACATGGACCCAAAACACATATAGGCAATTTGTTGATGGATTGTTGACGTGACGTCATTGTCTTGTTGAAGTGACGTCATGCCATTAATTTGTTATGAATAGGGGAATCCCCCCGTCTCAACCCTAGTGCGGAGACAGATAAATCTAGCACTGGCAAAACGGGAGATAAATCTGTCAGGTGTGGGAGAAAGAAAAATCTAGCATGGGGCATGACATGGTATATCTCTGTCTGAGGTGCGATAAAAATGCATCTTTAATTGGCTATGTTACTTAAATGAAACTTTTGAATGACATGTTAAAGCGATATGGTCCTTCGTTAATTTTTTATACTGGAGTTTTTCTATTGGCTAATAGGGGGAGACATATGTTTTTTTTTTCACAAAAACAAAATTCTAGTTTAATTTTGTATCGAGAAGTATATATAAATTTGATTCACAGCTTCTCAGCTCGTCAGATGCACTTTTTTTAAAGTGAAGATCTGTGTTTTTATTTAAAAAATACATTGATAGTGTGTGTTTATATTTAAACATACAAGATTATTTATTTATTTTGAATCACCTTCGTCATCTCGGTTCCGATCGGGGTCCGTTTTGGTTACACACATTCAAAACTGTATTGAATTCCGTTTAAATATCTTATGGTTTCCATTTCGACTCCGTTTCGGTCCGGTCCGTTTCGGTTTCGTTTCGGTCCGTTTCGGTGATTGTCGCACCCAACTATCCGGATTGTCCATAATTTGTTTTTAATATTATATGTAGGCCTAGCGTGAATAAAACGTTTTAATCGGGAAGCAATTTATAATATTACTATCAAACGTTTAAATTACATCGAGTGCGATGATAACACACACATCGCTGACGAAGATGGCGACCATTCCTTGTAATCCAACAAACGAGGTTGTTGACGAGGATTACATATCGATGTCTCTTCACGAAATGTTTCATATTGTAGGTGATCAAATGACCGAGAGAGACATCAAACTTCTGAAATACTTCTGTGTGGGCTTGATATCGGAGGAGATGACGTCCAAGGTCCAAGACGGATTCAGTTTTTTGTTGTGCATGGAAAAAATGAATTTGGTATCGGAGTCCAACTTCATGAACGTGTTAGACTTATTGAGAATAATCAACCGGCACGACCTGTCTCAGTTCGTACATCTCAGGTGCAGAAAATCAGGTGCGAATCATGCTTTGGGTGGTGATTCAAATTTTCGCACCACAATACCTAAACCGGGTATTGGAGCACCGACAAAGCTGGATATATAGGCAGATTTGGTTACATCACGGAAGTAGATTATCTAAGTCCGTGGGCACATAGACTAGAATGCGACTATACATATTTAGGGCAAATGTCAACAGACAAGTCATTTGTGTTCGCAATTTCTTGTGTACATTAAAATGATGGTGAACAAATGAGTGAAACCACAGGGGTAAGTTACAAATGTCTGAAATACACATGCTGATATAATAAGGAAGCAGGACCCAAATCGGACCAGTACCCAAATCGGATCACTTCTGTATCTGTATCTTTACGTTGTAGTACCCGGTTCCGGTTTTTATACAACGGTAGAGAGAGCAGTTCAGTTAGATTTTTGATGTGTTATAGCACTCTTAAACGGCGCGTCTAATTACCCAATACTACCCAATACCACCCAATACTACCCCATACGACCCAGTTATGAACCAAATACTTCTTTATTACTGTGAAATATCACCTTTGTAGACATTATTTACTTCCATCTGCCATATTTTATCGGGAAATATGCGATTTAGTGCCGAAAACATCACCGAATTGCCGTGACTATGACCCAATACTACCCCATACCACGGAATTAGATTAGATCTAAGTCTGTGCCCATACCACCCAATACTACCCCATACGATCGAGTTATGAACCGAATACTTCTTTATTACTGTGAAATGTCACAGTTATTTACTTCTTTATGTCACATTCTATCTGGAAATATGTGATTTGGTGCAGAAAACATCACCGAAATGCCGTGACTATAAGGGGTTCGACGATTTACAGGAACGGGCAGAAATCTATTAATTATTATATAGGCCTATATATTAATGAATATATATATTAGATACATTTAAGTATCATTATCGGGTAATTTATTTTCACCTGTAATTAGTTTATACCAAAACATTATCATTCTAGATTTAATTTCAATATTCAGCGAGTACCTATATACTTGCTGTGGAGCTACGTATGTTTAAAATTCTTTTACAAAACTGCACATGTAATTTCTCAATCATATTGGTATTTTCAAACCCCAAAATTTCTGAGGAGTACAAACGGATTGTGGATATTAATACATCAAACAATTTTAATTGTAGGTCAATTGGTAAAAAAATATTTCTTATTTTTTTTTATATAATGCATACATTGCTTTTTGAGCCTGTTCAACAAGTTTTTTTCTTGCTTTACAGAAACTGCCATTATAATGAAACAGCAGTCCTAGAAACGAGTATCTGTCATGTGTTTGCAACTCTTCACACCAAAAAGAGTAAAATGAATATTTTGTGCAATTACTTTTTTCAAAGATAACAACTATAGTTTTATTGAGATTAACTTTAAGTTTCCAAATAGTACAGTAAGTTTCAAATTCACGGAAAGCATTCTGTAGACCTTTAGCTGTTTCTGACATAACAACTGTGTCATCTGCATATAGCAGAATAAATAATTTAACAAATATACCCATGCGTTCTTGAAATAAATTATCAATATACTGGAGTTGGTCAACATTACTTTGCATGAAAAATTCTTCTAAATCATTTAAATATTTTTCACCCCGACGTGACATGTGAAAAAATCAGTCATACCATTGCTAGTTTTTACGCAAGATTTAGTGTTTGCATACAGATTTATTATAGCATTAAATATCTTTCCTGAGATATTATTCTTTAATAATTTCTTCCATAAACCTTCCCTCCAAACAGTTTCAAACGCTTTTCTGAAATCAATGAATGAACAGAATAGCTTTTTACTTTTTGAAACGTATATAGATATTAAAGCATGAAGGATAAATATATTTTCAGTTGTAGAGTAGCCTTTCCTAAAACCAGCTTGAACATTGGAACAAGAAGTCTATTGTCTACTATTATTACGGAATTAGATAATCATGCAGGTTTGACCACATCAGCCTTTGAAAAAAAATGAAACTTAAAGCGTTTCACCGTGTTGCTTTCTTCTTTACATATACAATTAATATATAGTATTGTTTTTCTAAAACAGATAAGGCCTAACAATCCAACATATGGACTTCAATATTTATTTACGTAAAACACATATTTTAATTAACTTATATTTACATATAGAATAATATTTAATTTTCAGATTGATGTCCCTTTTTTTGAGTTGGAAAATTGCGTATTTTCTTTTTTTTAAGATCGTAGACGTGATGGGATTGTAATCTACACATTAACACCAATAAATTCACTCAAAATATATTCATGCTATTTATTAAGAGTTGAGTATAAGTTATGAAGTTATTAACATTTAGTTATCATAATTTCATTTCCAATGTTTCAGGTGTTATGACATCGCAATAACAATGTCATATATATAAATGAGAAAATAACCCAGATACATATTTATTATATATGTAATATATAATTCTCTGAACAACCCTTTTTATAGAATAAAACAGAGACATAAATTGGAACCTCGGCCTGGCAATTTATATATATATATATATATTTAGTCCGATCCTGCCCCGTTCCTGTAATTGCAATTCTTTTATCAAATATACCTTATACCAGATAAGGATAATTAAATATATACAATAAATATATATAAATAAGTCCGATCCTGCCCCGTTTCTGTCCGTTCCTGTAAATCGTCGACCGTTCTTGCCCGATCCATATCAATACAATACTTTTTTTT